CATCGGTTTAGAGCTTCGGCTCAAAACTGGTAGGTCCTGGGTTCGAATCTCACGGGTGCGGGATCGTGGATGCGCATTGCTGAGGAGTCCCGTAATAGGACGAAACGGACGTCCAGTGTTTCCAGGTTTTCAATGGTGATCTAGCTTCAATTGACTCATGATTTCAACTGTGAAAATAATTTCGTTTATAATTTGAATTCAAATGTATTTATCCTATTCGGATATTAGTTGAAATTTCTACCGTTTCATGAAACTTATTATCTTTGAATGCTATGAAACAAAAATTAAGGTTTACATTTGTAATATACTCCTTATGAATAGATATATTGATATTTTCAATAATAACAGTCAGTTCAATAGTCAGTTAGTTTATTTTATCGACTAAAATCAAATAATGAACTAGTTGACAACAGACAATTGTTAAAGAGTGTTAGTTATATTAAGTCTATCAAAAGATGACATTTGGAATTTATGTATCCTTTTACCGTTCACATTATTGATTTCTTATAACTGATAAAATCAATAGAATTTGGAGAATTCTTTAGATAATAAACTTAATTTTGATGAGATATAAATTTGTTTTGTTTAGTTCAACCAGGCATATTAGATTCATATAATACTAGTCTGCTATTTTCAATGTTATAAATATTTTCAGTAGTGAATTCAGTAGTTTAATAATGCATAATCTAATTATTAACTAAAATCAGAATGAATTAGTCATTTTATGGTTTGTATAAGAGATTGGATTGAGTTAGATTAATATCAGTGACCCAGAAACACTGAACATAGTTTTCATAATATTCTTATTGTTCTATTGTACTATTTAGACTTGTATTAATTTTAATTTGATTATTTATTCTTTGAAGAAGTGGCTTACACTAAGTTATGAAACGTCAGAAAGTCTAATTTTCCTACTCATTGGGATATTGAAAATAGATTATTTATTTATTTTAACAAGATAATTGAAAATATTATTTTTCTTACTTTTATCAAGTCGCATTCGACATATGGATTTACATAGAACAGGTGTAATGTGGCTACCAGTTGGATCCAGGACTCTCGATTTGTTCTATTTGGATCTCGTCAGCTGGTTGTATCTTCATTGAAATTAACGTTCACACTGCGACTCGAAACTCGCACTGTTCGTTCTAAACGCCATCACGTTATCCACTTAGCTACTGAGCACAAATAGCCAATCTCCTGTACAACATTGATCGATTCATGATCTTAATTAACCCATATAGTCTTGAATATTGAATAATTGACGATAAAACTTTAAGTTAGTATGTGGGGAAATTAGAAATATGATTAGCTTGCTTGAATTGTATTGCACGAATATATCATTAAGTATTGATAAACTTGTCTTCTCATTTTCGTACTTAGATTAGAGAAGATCAGGAACCAACCCTTTGTTATACTCACTAGATCATTTCAAAGTATCTATCAAATATTCTGTGTTGATCATGTATTGAGAAATTATACTACCTAAAATTTTCATTCTATTTGAGTATATACTTTTTGTGACATTTTTAAGGACTCTAAAGAAGACCCTACTTTGTTTTCTATCATTTTGATTGTTTTAATAGAGACATATACATTGATACATGTAAACTTATATAGTTGAGATCATGAGTCAATTGAAGCTAGAACACCATGGAAAACCTGGAAGCACTGGACGGCCGTTTCATCTTGCGGAGGAGTCTCACAATAGGACGAAACGGATGTCCAGTGCTTCCAGGTTTTCCATGGTGTTCTAGCTTCAATTGACTCATGATCTCAACTATATAAAATTACTAAACAATATGTGAATTATAGCTACAAACCTTTAAATATATTACTTTTGATAAAATGATCAATTTGGCTGTAAGATAGATGTTATTACATGTAATACTTAGAATACAATCGATAAATAGAGTTTCTTTAATTAAAATGATAAGGGTAAGAACAATGATTCGAGGAGAATTACATAAATTCAGTTTATTTCTAAGGTTCTTGTCAATTGTTTATGCATCTTGTAAAAATCATAATTATAAAATTGGTTGAAATCACTCAAATGCATCAATTTAGTTAGGTGTTGTTTTGAGCACGAATCAGCACTTTTTAGTGGTATTGAGTTTTGTAATCTAGATCGTTGTGATTTTAGTCATCATTATTGCTTACTTCATGTAGAAGTGTACGTTTTAGTTTTCTTACAAGTTTTGTATTGGTTCATCTTGATGATTTTGTTTGTAACTGGCCATTATCGTAGGGTTTGTCATCTTCATTTACATTTGAATTCTCGTTATCTGTCTTTTCTAGTTAATCTATGACATTGTGATTGATTGACCTCTTCTGTATAGGTTCATAAATAGGGTCGATGTTGATAAGTCTATTGATTGTTCATTGGTCTGTATCTCATGCTTTAATAAATTGTATGGTATTCCTAGAGTTTTCCCAATCCAATATTTTGACATTTTTCTAACCAGATTCATGTCCATGATTGTTTACATTCATTGATATCAGTGAAAGTAGGCCATGCGCCTCATGATAGTATAGAATAGTAAAAATGTAAGTAAATTTAAGTGACTAAATAAAGATATTGCAAATATAGACTATAATTTATGGATGACTTTTGAGGGATGCTAAAGTGACCTTGAAAATGTCTGCCGATTTACTAGTGTTAAATGAGGCTTATAAATCAGTGTAAGGTATTAGGATTACGATTTCCAGTTGATGGTTAGGAATAGGAATTAAATTTAAGGTTTTCATCACGAACTGACATCAGCTATAATTCTAGAACGCTATTAAGCCAAATGAATGAATCAGTTTCGCGCCAAAATCCAGAAACCTGTATATAATAAATCTGATTGGTTCATTAATATATTATAGTCTTGCCGATTAACACTGTCAACTAACACTTCAGACAGTGAGTACTAGGGATTGGTTAGCGAATCTATTTCAAATTATGTAAATTTATAAGCAAATATGGATAGCGGCTAGCAGGGGAATCCAGGACTCCTGTTTCGTCTTATTCGGCACTCGTCAGCTGGATGTACCCGTATCTCAGAATTGATATTTACTCTGGGACTCGAACTTAGTACCTTTCTCATGGATAACGCCATCGCGTTATCCACTCAACTACTAAGTAAATTTAGTTGAGGTATAAATAATTCATTCGTCAAATGCTAAACTCAATGTTATCTATTCAAACTACAACACAGTATTATTTTTAGTAGTGCTTTTTGCGGAGATTGTAGTAATTTAATAGTTTAAATCATGAGTCAGTTAAAGCTTGATCACTATGGAAAACCTGGAAGCAGTGGACGACCGTTTCGTCCTAGTATGGAACCCTTCAGCGGTGCAAGTCCGCGATCCCTCTTGTGCAATTCGAATTTCATGAGAGTCATCAGGTGAAAACGTCACAATTAATTATTATTATTATTAACAGATACTTTTGACTGTCTTCTTATCAAATTTTTTTTGAGCAGATAATTATTAAATGAAGATTGTAATAATATGAAACCGGTAAGTAATTGGAATTTTTTAATTAGACTCAAATGAAATTCGAAAATGACCGATTTGTATAGCATGTACACACACCCTATTTAAAATAACACAATTAGGTATCATGCATGAATTGTTTTTAATGGCCGATGATAGTAGATTGATTACATTTTCCGGTGTAACCATCAATTAAATTAATTGAGATCATGAAAAAACCTAGGATAGAAAACTATGGAAAGCCAAAAAACCCTAGAAAGACAGCTACTTTTTCCTATTATGAGATTCTTGAACAGTGCATATTCAAGTTGCCATCTCTAGAGATTGAACTATTGACCCTCGAGTTTTGCATTCGAACACTAGACTTATAGAACATTGAATTTAGACCTTGTCTTTAATTAGGTTAGGTCTTTGTGTGCGAAACTGAGGGCTGCAGATCTGATTCCCAATTGTGAATTCATGAATACCCATTGATAATGAGTTCCGTATCAGGATGAAATAATTAACTTTTCAATTCTTCCTGGTTTTCACTGGTTGCTTAACTTAGATTGGTTCGTGATATGAATGATATTAATAATTTCCACAAAACAATGAATATCTTTCAAAGTTGAAATCATGAGTCAGTTGAAGCTAGACCACCATCGAATACCTGGAAGCACTGGACGGCCGTTTCGTCCTATTATGGGACTCCTCAGCAGTGCGCACCCATGATCCCGCACTCGCGAGATTCGAACCCAGGACAATGAATATGAATATTTGGTAACATGGGTTGCATTTTTATTGAAAATGAATGTATTTACTTCAGTCATCAAAGGTAACCTATTCTATGACTTAACTAATTCCTATTGCAGATCAACATTAGTTGATAATCTATGAAATCATAATGTTTAATTGTTTATTATATACACAAATCATCCACGATCCCGCCTAGGGAGATTCGAACCCAGGACCTACTATTCTTGCGCGCAAGCGCTTAACTTCTAGACTACTGAGCCGGTATCCAACAGTGTTAATGTCTAACTTCAATCAATCCACAAAATTGATCAACTGTGCACTATTTCTCTTCAGTGAGTTACCATGTCACAACAGACCTGGTTGAACTTCACTGGTCTAGAGTGATCTGATTCATATTGTTTTCATCAATATTTTCGTTAAACTTTTATGTGTCAATCTGTCTAGTTGACCCTTTATATGTCACAAACAAACACATTAACAAGTAAATATGTAATCAGATTGTTTTGAAGTGTATAACATTCTGGTTAGCGTGTTTAAAGAGTTGATTTTCTATGGGATGGGGTCGCTAAACCTATGCCCAACCCTCCTCTTTTACCAGGCTTAGGACCGGCAGTAGTCCCCGGAGGAGCTACAGGCGGAGTTAGTTTATAACATTAATGGATAATTTTCACTTTCTGATTGTATTATCCAAGAATTTATGATAAAAAAAGTACTAAAATGTTAAGAAATAAAGTTTTTGTCTGATCTCATTTTCTTTTTTTCTACTTCTTCATCTTCATTATTAGTGTGCTACCAGTTCATGTCATCGTCAGAATTCAGCAAATCATGAATGGGTACAAAATTTTTGTCAATTAATCAAAAATACTGTACAATTTACATGTTATGTACATGAAGATCATATTAATGAAGCTTTATTACATAAATTCTATGGACCATCAACAATGTTTGATACATTATTTTGGCCATTAACATTATTATTTGTCTCGAGTATATGTTTAATGATTACATGGTTTTTTGATAGATGTCATGTATGGCATGATGAGAAAACAATCATTGCATAATATTAAATAATGAACTTTCTGTAATCAAAACTGAACAGTATTGTTGTAGTTAATAAACATTCAAGATGGAGAAGATCAATTCATTTCTAAATGTGAAATCATACAACAATTAAGTAAAATGTAAGAAATCATACATCAAATACATCATTTGTACATCTTCTTCGAATGATCACTTACAAGATTCATTGTTCCTTCATTCCTGTTGTCATGTTAATTGTCTTCAGTTTCTTTCTCTCTTCTTTTCATTTCAATCTTGTTAAATTTCTACTATCAGGTTTTCCACTTTCGACTGGTGTTACATACTACTTATACCTGAAAACATAAGTAACATACACCATAGTATATATTGTAAATAATTATCATAGTTATATAGTCTTAATTGAATAGACCAAGGAAACTAATGAAAGTTTTCATTCAACTATGGAATGGAACTAATAGAAAGAACTTATTGAGACCTCATGGTTTCATCTAAAGTAGTGTTACGTAATAAGAATCATTTGAAGATAGATATTTTTGATTGATTTGACATTGATTAAGATTACTTTTTCATCTAATACATTACTATTATTTTATATTATTTCATAGGATAAATATTTGTAGTATGATTGTTTACCTGTATAACATTTCGATACAATAGAGGGAAATAACTGAGACTTTATAGATATCATGGAAGAGCTTCATAAGTACGTAATTAGTAATTCACTATACATTTAGCTAGTTATATAATATAACATTGTGGGTCAGAGCAATTTTGAACTGGTTTTCAGTAGAACCAGATATCATTCTGACTTTCATGTGACAATCCAAACAGTACAGCTCAATCTTGTTTAACAGGAGAGCCAGACACTGCCCAGGCTTAACCCTATACATTAGCAAACTGGAATATAGATAGTTATCTCGAGGTCTAAATAGGACACTAACAAAAAAATAAGTTTATGATATCTGAAGTAAAGACTGGATAATAGTGTATTACGTTTGTGATATATGGTAAATTGATTAAAGCAAGATAGTGTAGCTCATTCTACTCAGAATAAGTGGCTGAGCGGTCCTATATGCACCATAAAGTCTATACAAGGTTACATATCTAGGGTTCTAAGAAGTAATGAACCACAATGAAACAGATATCTTTTACTTTAATCAGTACATTAAGAAAAAGACTTTAAACCTTGACGGATTATAACTACATGACAACTGTTAATGTAATGCTATTTTTTAAAGACAAATACTATTCTGAAGATTAAACCGACGATGAAATTTACACTCGTTCAAAAGAGGTTTAAACATTGAATATTTATGATAACTGAAGTGTATTACATTACAAGGATAATTAGGTTGACAATACCCATTAAATTGATTAAAATGTCAAATTAACAGAACAGAATGTTATTTTTGAACTTACTTCCAGTGACACCTTTAAATTTTTGACCTATGTAAATATCTTTTCAAATACATAGAAAAATTTTAGCTTACGATTTACATAGCCTTTTCTTATCAGCCAATTTGTGTAGGTATCCTCCAACTATAATAAATACATAGTAGTAATACCAACTTATTTTCTGTCATATAATTCAGAAAGAATTTTCGTTCACTCCAAATATAATCGATCTTTCAACTTCGTATATATTCTTAGGCTATTTCTTGAAGTATTGTTAAATTTAATTTCATTTAAGAAGTCTAATTACGAGTTGCATTAGAAAGGAATCATTTCCACAGATCAATCAGACCGAATACAGGAAGTGAATGTGTAGAGTGTGCACACAAAAATGTGTACATAAATCATAAATTATTGATTGGACTGCATTGAAAATCATTTAGAAAGTGGAAAAAAAATAGATAATAGACGTCCTAATAATTTTACACACATATAGATAAATATATAGTTAATTACATGACTGAAGTGCAATCAGGGGTAATAAAAATTTCATCTGACCCTGGGACGATAATTTTATGTACAAATAGTTGAACCCAGATCTCGAGCCTATATAGGTTATTCTAGACTCTGGACGGATCAATTTATTCATTCTTCTCAAGCTACATTTGTACCATATCACTTAGTCATTTATCAACCTTAACTATTTTGATGTAAGCACATGTGTGTGCATTTCTTATCCTACTAATCACACATCTGCCACTTTTGTCTGACCATAAATATTGAATCACACTTGATAAAAACGAATTGGTTCACTCACTTTCTCCATTGCGCGTCATTCTATTTCGCTTCTCTTCCCGATCAGCGATTATGCGAAATATACGTATTCAAATATTCATTCTCTCGTTTGACTTATTTTCATTCCGTTAATCACTAATGCTAGTTAAGTCGATGTTTATATACGAGGATTGACGACATGTAGTTTTCAATAACAAGCAGCAAAAGATTTAACTAGAGTCAGAGCAAGGACCACTGAAACGGCTTGCTAAAATCATACACATGTTTCTCTTTATGATTCCTAGGAGAGCAAGGACGAAAAATTCATTTCATTGGGTCTTCGTCAGCTGCTTACATCCTGTAACATTTAAAAATCATAATTATTGGACCGGTTGAAAATGAATTGGAAGTTGTTTTGTAGACACATCAGTAAATTATAACAAGAATGTAGACAAATTTAATTGACTGGATAAAATAGTGCCGACTTATGTTTTATATAGAAGAACATTTTACAGTATTATTGTTATCATAAGACCAAAGAGCTAGAAATCAGTGGTTGCGCAAGAACAAATTGTTATATCGATTGCGTGAGCGTGTGTGCGTGCTCAGTTGTTATATCGATTGAGTGTGTGTCCAGTTTATATATGAACATGCTGATTTCCGCCAATGAGAGAGGAGTGAATTATCGATCAGAGCAATGATACATGAAAGCTGTATGAACAATCTTGAGTACTTATCAGTCTTGGTTTCTATCTTCCCCAGCCAGTTAATTCCAGAACACCAATAACAGTATCTGCAATATAAATCATTATTCTCAAGCACACTGAATGTATATACCAACCAAACAGACCAAATCGTACCATAAAATAGAAAATAACATTTGTACAAGATTTGGCCAAATGTGGCTGTGAATAGGGAGAACGATAATTAATGGACTGAGAATAACTCCAAAATGGTAAATCGTATAATAATAGTCTATAGGTCAAAATAAAGCTTATAATAAGAGGGACACGAATATGAATAATTAAGCTACTTAACAATTATACAATAGGAAATATACGTATCATATTGTTCCATAAATAGTTCTCAAAAGTTACCGTTCATAATTCTCTTCGGGATATAACACTAATATTATCTTAGAATTTGCATGACGAACTGATCTTCGTAAGAAAACTATTAAGAAACAGGAAGCATGAGACAGATGATGGGTTCAAGACAGTTATCCACTACAGGTAATGAAAACAGTCAAACAATACTGTGAGTCAATTTAAATTAGAAATATAAATCATTGGATTTAATTCCATTTGTTTGGAGCTTAAGCGTTTACATAAAATACAGATTCAAGTTAACATTTCATACGAGTCATATTAACGTTAACAATTTTATTCTGTTTAGCTTGACAATCCTAGATTCACATTACTTTGACCTTAAACGATGCAATTTGCCCTTAACCTGGCCATTTTTTCGGATTATTAATTTGGATATATATAGTTGTGGAACCTGGAGAGAATTTATCAAAAAGAATATGATGGGGATCTTTAAACTATTAATAAATTGTTTGAATGTCTTTTTAAAGAATGAAATTAGTCAGAGTTCAATTATAATCTATTCCTATACCAATGACTACTGTAAAGAGAGGAGTTGTAGAGCTTTTTTCTCAAGTATAAACATTAGATTTATAAATATGCAATATTGTAGAGCCATGATGATAAGCCAACTGAATAGAGATTTCTTCTCTGTATATTCATTTCCACACTGTAGTTATTAATGAGAAGTCACAAAAATTAATAATTCTTTTTCTTAATAGTTAAATTCATGAGTCTATTCAAGATAGAACGCCATGGGAAACCTGGGACCACTGGATGGCTGTTACATCCTAGTATGGGACTTCTCAGCTCGCGGGATCATTAAAGAGTTTACTATAAGATATTTTTTATGAGAATAAAAACAAACCCTTTAAAAACGAATTTACAATATAAGCAGAGATGGATGTTAGCTAACAGTGGAATTCAAGACATGCGGTTCGTCCTGTTTCAGTTGATATTCTCTCCAGGATTCGAACCAAGTGCCGTTTGCTTTAAACGACATCACGTTATCTACTTAGCTACTACTTATAATACTTGTGACTTAAGGCAATATTGAGGCAATTCATACAGGATGTACATATGCCATTAAGAGTCTGATTGATTACAGTCCTAAACATCAATGGGAAGATTCAAACAAACAATGCTAAGGTTCACAGATTGTTTAATGAATGAATCTAATGCTAATCAATAGATGTAATGCAATAATACGAAATGACTGGATCATGGCTACCCATTAGATCTGATTGTTATACTATAAGCATCCTAGTTGATTTGACACAAAAGACAAGAATATTATCTAGTAGAATAGGATTTTTCTCCTAACGGAGTAACACATTTATACACAAGGTGTTAAACGTAAGAATAAACATGAATATAAGTCACTTAACATAAAAACAACTGGAAGATCTGGCATCTATAAACCATTTACTATCTAATAGGGCTAATGCTTAACTAAATCAGACTTAACTATTGACCTGTTTCATTACGCAATCTGATGGAGAAATTTACGATCTGAAGAGTAAAGAATAAAAAATAACCGGTTTTTTAAACTTTGAACAATGAATATCTTGAGCTTCATTGACGGTTCTTCTATCTTATAGTCGCATTGTGGTGGACGAGAAAACTAGTGGGATAATCAAAGGTATTCGAACATAAAATTACAGAATCATTTAGTCAAATCTGAAAATCATACATTAAACACTTCATTTGCAAAATGTCACTCGATTGTCACAGACTTTATTGTCAATTCATCTCCATATCAATTACTC